CTCGCCCAGGGACGCCGTGCGGGGTGCCTCTGACTCCCAAGCAGAGCCATCAGTTGGAGGAGGGGCGGCTGCGGAGGCCGGACTACCAGGTTACCAGGGCCAGCAGTATTAGGGCCAGCTCCCTCCTGGGCTCCGGGGGGCCTGGACTCCTCCTCAAACGGGCCAAGCGGCAGTCCCTCCGGACGTGCCCCATCACCCGGCAGAGGAAGCACCGGGTCTCCCCCATTGAATAATGGACCCGGTAGAGGGCCCCCTGGTTGGCCACCATGAAGGACCCCTCTAACGCCGCCCCGCCACGCGCTGCCGGCAGCAGCTGTGGGTGTACCTGCCGGTGGAAGGACAGGATGTGGCAGAGGGCAGGGTCCTTACAGCCCAACGGGAGAGTTGTGGTCAGGATCCCCACTGACTGAGTTGCAGATTGAGCTGCCACTGTTAGGGCCCTGGGAGGGGATGCAGTGCAGCAGACAGGCCTGCGTTCTTGCGGAGTGGCAGTCTCTCTTTCTGTGACTGTAGCCAACCGCCTGTGTCGGACAGCTCTCCACCAGTGCAAGGCAAGCCACCTCTTGGTTGCCCCACCCTGAACCAGGGCCTGGAGCCAGCGACTGTTAACCCCTGAACTCTGTTGGCTTGCGGCCCTGCTCTGAGCCAGAACTTGTATCTAGCAATTGTTGGCTGGGCCCCTGGACTTAGTGACTGTGGGTGTGGACTGAGCAGAGGCTGGTGCTCTTTGGTGGTGGTACAGCTGATTTCCCAGGAGAGACTGAACAGGGATGTTGTGAGGTGGAGTGGCCGCCCCAACCCAGAGAGGTGGGCTACAAGTCAGCAAACGTGTGGGACTCTCCGGCTGGGTGTTATGTTAAACACAAATAGCAAAGGGGGAAGCATTTTTCAGAAATTTAGAATGTAACAGTAATTTCAGATTAAAACGTTTCTCATGGCTCATGTGTGGGCCTGAAAAAATTATGCTTTGGCCCTGAACATGGGCGGTGGTGCCGTGGGCCAGCTGTGCTGAGCACACACCCGTGGGATTCAGACAGGTTTACCTTGGCATGGCTAGCCTGTGTAACTGCTCTTTGCTGCCCACGTGACACTCAGTTTTAATGTGCCAGGCTGGTGAGACTACAGGGATGGCTGCCCAAGCTGGGAATCACCCCCCCTGCTCATAGTGTGCCCCCAGCCTAACGGTGTGACCTGACCGTGTGGATAATTCAGGGGGAGTGTTCTGATCGTAGCAGCGTTCTGCTTCCAGCTGTGCTGCTCAGCTTCACTGACCTGGCCAGCTGATTTCTCCTTAACATCCCTGCAGAAGTTGGTCTTGAAGAGGGATTAAAGGAGGGGAGGGTATTGGCCAAGGGGATTACTTCATGGCAGCATGAAAGAATGGTAAGGTGTTGTGGGAGAAGCAGACAAATGGGCATTCAAGGGGACATTGCTGCTGACGCAGAGCAGCAAGGGGAAGGAGTGATATGCAAAGGGATGAAACAAATAGGGAGGGGCTGAAGTATGAAGGGCCTTGAAGGACTGAACAAGAATTTTTAATTTGGGGCTATTTATATATCTTGATTGTGTGGTTGGGATGGTTTCATTCTGGAGCGGCTGAGGAAACCGAGAACACTTGTGTGAGGCTGGCCAAAGACTTGTGAAAGGTGCTTAGCAGGAGTCAGAGTGGCAGGGCATGCTGGCAGCGTAGGACTGGTTTGGGGGCACGGGAAGGAGGGAAGTGTAGGGGTAAGAGGGGAAGGCAAAACAATTTAGGGGTTAGTGGTAAAGGGGGCACAGGTTATGTGTGCAGGCGTTGGAGAGACAGTGCGGCGGCCATGTATATTTTAATGAAGCAGGGATTATTTAAATCCCCACTTCTTTGCCTATGCTGGGTAAATTAGTTTACATGGCTCCATTGACGGAGTCTAGACACACCCTGGGAAATCCCTTACCTGTGCCTTGTGAATGCCTGTCACCTTTCTAATACAGTTTCCTGACTTTCTTCGAGCAGGTTTTCATCAGCTTTGTTTACTTTCCTGAGGAATGAACATGTAGACTGAGTGGGTGCACTATCCAATAAGTTACAATGGCGTTCTTTCAAAAATCACAAGAACAGGCACCTGGGATCTTGCAGTGGGTTGCTTTTGGACCTGTTTAGCTGGCAGGCAGGGAAAATTTTTCTGTACATAGCAAAAGAATTCCAGGTGAAGTATTTGAGATCTAGTTCAGATAAACAGATCTTTAGGTTAGGCCCTTTCATAGGTACCTGCTATTTTAGCACCCTGCCCGTGGCTTGTATTGTTAATAGAAATCCAGTCCCTTCAATAGTCATTTAAATTTACCCACTTCCGAGAGAAAATATGGTACGGTTTAAAAAATACTCAGCAACACTGCATGATCGTGTAGGATAGGAAGTGAAAGAAGAAAATTTGTGGAGGAGATTTAGTAGGCAAGATGAAATTAATTTGGTTGAAATTTGTTCAGTATAGTGGACATAATACAGTGGTATGGCTAAAGATGCCCTGAAATAGATAACACACCAGTGGTTTTACATCAAAACTGAAAGAAGGCCCCTCCTACTGCAGTGATTATAACATGGCTGAGGTATTTAGTTCAGTAAGAATTGCTGACTCACCATCATAACATCCTGTATAACCCTGGATTTTTCAGAGGTTCCTGAGTCTTGATCAAACCCAGAATTCCTTGTTCTGTGGCTGAGATGGTAGCCCAAGGAGGTATGACTGCAGGGCTATTGAGTGTTTTTATTTAAATTTACACTGCACAGCTATCAGTGCTTTAACAGTGATATTTAGAGAAACTGAGAACACTCAGCTGTTTAAAAAATGAATCTAGGTACTTTAATGACTCTGTAGGCAAAATTGGTGGAGCAAGAGTATAAGCCAGTAGAGGGTGACTTGCAGCCCATCTAGCTTCTATGAGTGGCCCATATGAGACATTTTGTTTACTGTTGCTAACATACAGGCTCGCCAAATTCTGCTGATTTCTGTCTGTGTCATTTTTCCCCCAGTGGTATTACTAAAGTGACATGCATGTAAAACAAAGGCACATGAAGTGAGGTGTATGCTGATTGCACTCAACATTGACTGTGAGAGCCATGTGCTCTCTCTGCATCCAGTAAAAGGGCTGCTACGGTTTGGAACGCCCTGCAAATTCTAGGTTCACAAGAGTAATTAGCAAAACTACCCTATCCCGGCAGACCATCTTGATTACGATTAATCTAGCAGCTCACTGAGATGAAGAGCCATAACCTAGCATGCCCATCCGTGGAATCAATGGTCCAGTGGCCTTCTGAGGTTGCATGTCACAAATGTGTTAATACTGAACACAGCCACTTGCGGTCAATTCACAGGTGGGTTAGTTGTCCTTGGAAATGAGATGGTCAAGATGCTGCTAGGTGAAAATGACCAATGTCACCTTACAACAGAGTGTACAGCATGATGGTGGCAAATGTAGAACTGGTGTCTGAAATGTGTGAACATTAAGCATTGTCCAAAACAGCTAAGTGATCCAGTGACTAGGGCGCTAGTCTAGGATTTGGAAAACCTAAGTCCCAGTCTTTGCCATAGATTTCCTGTTTGACGTTGAGCAAGTCACTTAGTTTCTCTGTGCCTCTGTCTACTCTCTGTACAAATGGAGACAATAGATCTTCCCTCCTTCCCGCGGCATTGTGAGGTACTTGAACCAGGCAGTAGGCGCCAGTAGCGGGCAGACAACTGTAAGTATCAGAAAGGAATAACCTGTTTTTCAAACTGGGTCTTTAGTTTTTGTGAACCTAGTTTTGTGCCTACAGGGAATTGGGACCAGTTCATGGGTTATTTTCTTGGAAATTCACTGCAGGTAAAAATGAGCCCACCATAAATTGGGCCCACCAAAATGGAGTCCTGGTTCAAAATCAAACCAGTAATTTTTAATTGCAATCACAGTCTAGTTAAAGGACTGCATACTTATTGATACTTAGAGACTGGCAACTAGTTGTTAGAGTTCCCGAATAACTCTTCTGAAGGCCTGAGATAATGGCCATTTTGGTTAGGTTTAATTTGCAGAGATCTTGTGGGGGAGTAAGAGGAGAGAGGAGGGGAAAAAGGGCTGGGTAATCTAAGGATGCAGGCCAAATACAGGATTCACTGGAGGACTTAGGTCATACTACTGGTAGATGTTCAGGATTTTGTTTTTCTCTTGGATTTTGCTCTTGAAATCACCAGAGAGTTAAAGGTGACTGGGTAAGAAATTCCTTAAGCCCGTATTCTTTATTTGCCAGCCATGTTGTCCCTGAAGGGAGAGCAGATGAGCTTTCCCACAGAATGGTGAAGTCTGAGGGAGTATAAATAAGCACATAGGTGAGGGGCATAAAAGGGCTGAGGCACTAATTTTGGGGTTTGAGGTGGCTGTGGAGCCTCACATCCCAAAGAAGGGAGGCAGGCAGGAGATCAGCACCTCAAACTGTGCCTTAGAAACCCAGAACTAGGACCAGTGTCCTGGCTCTGTCCAGAACCAGTTGGCTTAGGAGCATTTGGGATGCATCAGTTGAGGCCGCTCCCAACAGACTGGCCACAGTGGGGGACAAGCCTTGTAACAGGAGAGGCAACGCTTGCACGGGGCATGTCTACGCTAGGAAATTATTTTGAAATAACTAAATTTGAAATAATAGCTCCCGGAATAACTTCGAAATAAGCATTATTCCCCATGGGAAGCAGGAGTACAGATTTCGAAATAACAGGTTTGGTAGTGTGGACGCGCCATTTATTTCGACATAAAGGGGGGTTATTTTGAAATAACTCCCTAGTGTGACCAGGTCTCTCTCTCTCTTTCTCATATTGTACAGATTTTTGTTGCACATGTTGACACCCTCTTGTTCACAAAATACTATCCCGTTACTATCTTTGCTGTTTTGAGACCAAGGATTTTTTCGGACATGTATAGTGATGTATCAAACCAAAAGTGAAATGATCATTTCGCATTAACATCCTGCCAGTTTCTGAAAGCAAACATCCAGCAAGTAGAACCAAAAAAAGAACAAGATGCAGGTTTATTTTTTCAAATGCTCTATGTCTTCTCTCAAAATGAGAATGGCTCACAACGTTGTTGATGATAAGGGTGGCCTCTTTGTTGCTTTGTGGTGATCCTTCTTTAGCCTGCAGGTGGGGTGAGAAAATACTTGTTAAATTGTCTGGAAGTTCTTTTTCATTCATTTCTAAAAGTCCTACAAAAATTCTCCCCGTTAAGCTTCTCTGAGGGTTTGTATTGTGTATGGTATGTTCCTACTTACAAATATCTCGCTGCTGCCATTTGCAACTAATATATATAATAGAGGTAAACATAGTGCTATGTTTTCATAAACTGTAAAATATATACCTCCAGACTGACCTTTTCAAAGCAAACTAAGGAGATTTAGACAACCTGCAATTCCCGTTAATTTTAATTAATACCATCCATGCTTTGTGCATCTCAGCTTCTGTCTATAATGAGTCTATTTTAGATTAAAGGAAAGTAATAGGAGAGAACAGAAATTAAGTTTGCACAAGAGAGCACTGTGTGTGAGTCTCATCCAGTATGGACTGCAGCAACTCTGAAGACAGTATGTCAGTTGCAGTCTGCACACATGGATGGATTGTTGCTAGAGATGTAGAGGTGTGGTATGCAGGAAATGAGAGACAGGTTTATAATTGTACATCTCACAAGCAGAATGTCATTAACTGGCCCTTGGCTCATCTGGGCACTTCACGGAAAAAGGCTCATGTCTTTCCCCTTCTCAGAAAACATGAACAACAGATGTTGTGATGTCAGTTATTGCTTATGTGGCTGTTCTCCCTGGCATGTGTAGCTTCCATGAATGTCAAAGACATTACCCTTCACTTCGCAATCCCCTACTAGCTAAAGCGCTGTTCCCACCATGATAGCACAGGTGACTAAATCATGCTCATTTTGGAGGTTTAGAATCTCACTCAGTAGGTAAGAGTTTCTGAGGAGTCTGGTGGTTTCACATTTCACACCCAAAAAGACCAGCGGAAAACATATGCTCGGATTAAAAAAGAAACCTTGGCAACTGCATTTTGAGTGAGTGCATTTCACCAGTGTGCCTACAGATCATTGCAGCTTCTAACAGATTGCTGGAGCCATTTCTAGAGTCTTGTACCCAGAGACAGATGATATAGCTAACAAAACAGCTGTTAAGTTACTGTTAATTAGAAAGTGAAAATGCTTTCTGTGTTTGTGTGTGTGGGGGGGCATATTTTATTTCAAGTTATAGATGACATATATTCAAAAGAATATATCTTACTTTACACTTGACTGGGAATGGGTTTCCTTCATCCAAACATTTTGAGCTGAATGCATTAAGTAGAGAACAAACAAAATCAAGATGTTTCCTGTACTTGCACAATCTACCTTTCAAATGCAGGAAAGTAGGAATAGACCTCCTGTCTCAAGGAAACACCCCATCTAACTCAGAATTTTTTTTTCTCTGACAGTGGCCAGTACAATATGCTTCAGAGAAAGATTCAAGGCACTATTTAAAGAAAGAGTATGGAATAACCTGTCCATAGGAAAACTTCTTCCTAAGCCTAGGTGGTTATTTCCTGAATATATCTTCTTATCCACATAACTGTCTAATATTTTTTTAAGCCTGCAAAGCATCAAACAGTAATAGTATCTCTGTGCCACATATTATTTTATGCATTGGTAATAAAAAAGGGTATTTCTTCTCATCTATTTTAAACTTGGTGGTGTTGTAAAATTCTTTAAGCATTCCCTTGTTCTAATATTACAGGAAAAGGTCAACAGGATCTCCTAATCGCTTTTCTACATAGTTCATTATTTTAGATGTCTCAATATGGTTGCATTTTGTAGGCATCCGTATTACTGCAACACTAAGGATGAAACTGACATTAGTATGTCCAGTTCAACTCTTACAACAACAGACTTCTGACCCGAATTGTTATCTGAATTTGATGCAGACTCTGTTTACTTTACGTGTCAATGAACCGGTTCACAGCTAGCGGCAGTTTACATTTCACAAAAACCTGGATGTTTAGAGGGCAGAACCAGCACATCCTGTATGTGTGCATTAACAGGCCTATAAGTCACAACTTACATTCTCAGAATCTGGACTATTCCTGATATTCATTCACAGCATGAATTGTTGTGGGGATGTTAAACCTTCTGTGCTCCCACCCATTTTCCAATGGGGAAAAGGTGGAGGAAAAGAAGGTTTTTATAATGTAACTTCATTTAGCATTTTTAGCTCTAATTTTCCACAGAACTTTGAGTACATTGATGACCCTGCTGTGGATGATTGTTTAAGATTTAAAATGAGAGATGTTGGCCTTGTAGCCAAAATACTTGGCATGGTCCTTTTTATTTGGACCCCAAGGACAAGGGGCATGGCCCTTTGGGAGTCTAGGAAAATAGTTTTGTTGAACTCAGTGTGGATATGTAGTGCTGTCTAGCTTAGCATTGCATATGGGTGGAATTGATTAACATGGTTGAAGAGGATCTGCATATGGTAAATGTGGCAAAAGATATGCTTGCTGGCAGCACAGGAAAGGAAGCAGAAGTTGCCGTTCTCTTTCTTGTTTCAATCGGTTGTGTGTGTGTGTGTGTGTGTGTGTGTGTGTGTGATCTTAATTTCATGCAAAATGTTGCACCATGCTAAGTACTATCTCATTTTGATGAGGGGGTTGCATGTGATCCACAAAGCTAACTGGACCACAGTGCCATCATCAAGGCTTTTGAAATGGGCTCCTTTCACTGAGATACTTGCTTTGACATTCTACCTTCCAGACTGTCCAGAAAAAGCATGAGTAGATATCTTGGCTGTACAGATTTCCTCTCCCAGCCTCTGTATCTCTGAGCCCATTGGGTTTGGATTTGTGCTGCTGCACAAGAATAATGCTTATCAGCTTATCCAGGTTTTATAAGAAGAGCCATATTGGGTCAGAGCATCTGGTTCCTCTAGCCCAGCATCCTGTCTTCCAACAGTGGTCAATGCCAAATGCTTCAGAGTGAGTTGAAAAGGACAATCCATAGAACAATCCATACAGAGCATGGGGTTGCAAACCTGTCCATGTTGGCTAATAGCCACTGATAGACCAACCTATCCTCCAGGAATTTATTTAATTCATTATTTTTAACCAACCCTTTTATAGTTTTGACCTTCATAACATCCTCTGGCAATGAGTTCCACAGGTTGCCTGTGTATGTGAAAAAGTACTTTTTGTTTTTAACCTGTGGACTATTAATTTTATTAGGTGCTCTGTAGTAATTGTGTTATGTGAAGGAGTAATTGGCGCTGCCTTATTCACTTTCTCCATGATAGTCATTGTTTTATGATAGATCTCTATCATATCCATAGTCATCTCTTTTCCCAGTCTTTCAAGTCTCTCCTCCATAGGGAAGCTATTCTATACCCCTAGTCATTTTTGTTGGCCTTCTCTTTATCTTTTCCAATTTTAATATCTTTTTTGAGATGGGTTGACTAGAAAGGAACCTGGTATTCAAGATGTGAGCAGACTCTAGACTTAAACAAAGGCATTATGAGATTTTTCTGTTTTATCTATCTCTTTCTTAAATGAATTTTAACATGGTTAGCTTTTTTGACTATTACTGTATGCTGAGCAGATGTTTTTAAAGAGTTATCCACCAAGACTTCTTGATCTTTTTATTGAGCGGTGATGGCTAATTTAGGCTCCATCATTCTGTGTGTAGTTGGGATTATGTTTTCAATATGCATTACTTTGCATTTATCAGCATTGAATTCCATCTGCTCTTTTGTTGCCCACTCACCCAGTTTGGTGAGATCCCTTTAACTCTTTGCAGTCCTTAGTAACTAGGGGTATGTCTACACTACCACCCTAGTTCGAACTAGGGTGGTTAATGTAGGCAACCGGAGTTGCAAATGAAGCCCGGGATTTGAATTTCCCGGGCTTCATTTGCATATTGCCGGGCGCCGCCATTTTTAAATGTCCGCTAGTTCGGACTCCGTGCCCGCGGCTTCACACCGCACGAACTAGGTAGTTCGGATTAGGCTTCCTATTCCGAACCACTGTTACTCCTCGTGGAATGAGGTGTACCGGTAGTTCGGAATAGGAAGCCTAACATGTGGCATGGACTAGGTAGTTCGGACTAGGCTTCCTAGTCCAAACTACCATTACTCCTCATGAAACTAGCCTAGTCCGAACTACCTAGTCCGTGCCACATGTAGCCACGCGGCACAGAGTCCGCACTAGCGGACATTCAAAAATGGCGACGCCCGGCGAGATGCAAATGAAGCCCGGGAAATTCAAATCCCAGGCTTCATTTGCAACTCCGGTTGCCTACATTAACCACCCTAGTTCGAACTAGGGTGGTAGTGTAGACATACCCTAGGACTTAACTATCCTTAGTAACTTTGTATGGCCTGTAAACTTAGTCACCTCCCTATTCACCTCTTTTTCCAGATCACTTATAAATATGTGGTACAGCACTGGTCTCTGTGTTGTATGACAATTATATATTCCCACCAAGGTGTTGTCAGTAGCCTCCCCAGGAATTGAAATTAGGGGGGGTGTTCAAATTTACAAGGGGGTGTCAGGGCCGATGAAGGGTGACACTGTGAGGGTGAAGGTGGGCTGTATGGCACCATAGTTCACAAAACTGGGGAGGTGTTGGGGAAATTCAGGGGGGGTATACACCCCCATAGGGGAGGTGTAGAGAAATCCCTCACCTTGTGATATAATATCATGTACCGATCCAACATCAGTATGAAGAGACAGGGTCTGGAAAGACCCTCATTGACCTCAACGGATCAGGCTTACAATGACACTGCTGCCATGAAGAGGTTGAAATGAATCAAGAGCCTAAGAGTATACTGCAAAGAAAAACCCATGGCACCAAGTTGCAGAGCCCAGCTTAACCCCTTGACTTGGGCTGATGTGTGCTAAGAGAAAGGGCTATAAGTGCCAGGTGCTTGGCTTTTGATGTCAGTAGGTGGTTGAATGTAGTGTCCTAATTATACCAAAAGCTAAGTACTGGGCACTTACAGCCCACTCTATTAGCCTTGTTTAGCACGGATACTCTACTTGACAAGACTTCCCCCCCCTTTTCCCTCCCCATCCCTTCTTTTTCTGCTGTTTTTGTACATCTGGGCCCATCACTCCAGTCATCTGAAGTGGGTTGTGCCCACAAAGCTCATGATACCATCTTGTTAGTCTAAGGTGCTGCAGGACCATTTGTTGTTCCTTTAGGGTATGTCTACACTACTACCCTAGTTCGAACTAGGGTGGTAATGTAGGCAACCAGAGTTGCAAATGAAGCCCGGGATTTGAATTTCCCGGGCTTCATTTGCATCTCGCCGGGCGTCGCCATTTTTGAATGTCCGCTAGTGCGGACTCTGTGCCGCGTGGCTACATGTGGCACGGACTAGGTAGTTCGGACTAGGCTAGTTTCATGAGGAGTAATGGTAGTTTGGACTAGGAAGCCTAGTCCGAACTACCTAGTCCATGCCACATGTAGCTGCGCGGCCCACCACATCCAACTTTGGATTACAATACAATTCCAGCTGGATCTTCCAAGTCCTGAATTCTCACACCACCAATTGAAAGTCTCAGAGGGGTAGCCGTGTTCATCTGTAACTAGGGGTATGTCTACACTACCACCCTAGTTCGAACTAGGGTGGTAGTGTAGACATACCCCTAGTTACAGATGAACACGGCTACCCCTCTGAGACTTTCAATTGGTGGTGTGAGAATTCAGGACTTGGAAGATCCAGCTGGAATTGTATTGTAATCCAAAGTTGGATGTGGAAAACACCTGTGAAATTTGAGATTATACTATTTGGAAGTGAGGGCAATTCTACCTCTAAGGGTCCGAGTGGCCACTGGACCCCAGGTACAGTAATTCCTCACTTAAGACTATAGATGTATTTCTGAAATTGTTCGTGCTAAGTGAAAACGTGCTATGCGGGGTCAATTTTCCCATTAAAAATAATGGAAAACATGGGGGTTGCATTTCAGGTGGTGGTGGCAAAGTCAGTTTTTTGTTGGTGCTGGGTCGTCAATGTCAGCATTAGATATCTAGCAACACAAGTCGCCATGGTTTGTTAAAATACAAAGATAAACACGAGTGAGCGGAAGAGCACTGTGATCACGTGTATTCATCCACTCATGCATATTACCACTGTTTTCACCAACTGATTCTGCTGCATGAAGTAGTCCGCCACTTGATTATTTTCGTGTTATTTCAGGGACAGTTGTGTTATTCAAAAAAGTCCCCTAAAAATAAAATCGTGCTATTGCAAAAATGTGTTTAGCGGGCATGTGTTAAATGAGTAATTACTGTATTGTGACTTTTTAGAAGGCTCTAACAAAATGAAATTCAGTGGTTGTGCTTTGCCTTTACTCACTCTGAATCAGACCCTTCTGTGTTCTAGTTAATGCTACTACACTCCCTTTAAAAATAACTAAACAAATATAAAACACAATTAAAATTGCTTGACATTTTCTATATAGCCATAAGAAAAATGGTCTTCATAATTGCTGGCTGAGCGAACCCTAAATAATCAAGTATTCTATAGATGCGTGCTGTTTACTAGAATGTTTCCATTGAGTGTAATAATGTTCACCTATATATTTCATCCAGCATAATCAATGTGTGTGTGTGAAATATGACTAAATTATGACTGCAAAATGATTGAACTAATGTTTTATTGAGATTTCAAAGAGTGCTTGTATATTTTAAAGGCGTGAATAAAACATGATTTGCAATGAATAACTTGGTGCCCCTTAAAATAAATCTCATATTTGCTGATTCCTTTTTTTTCAAGTGCACCAACATTGCATTGCATTCCTTACCACAGATAAATATTAATTAATCAGTAATGAAAGTTTAGAGATTTATGGCACAGTCTGTCTTGTTCCAGTCTGATATGAGACTGATTGCTGTCATAAAGTAGCTTGGAGGAAAAAGGTTATACTATGGAAGCTTAAGAGGAAAAGGATTTAGAAGTTTCCTTTTTTGCGTTAGATGACTGTTAAATAGAGGCGCTTTTTCTGGGCCTCACTTAGCAATCTCAGACAATGTTCTAGGAAAAGCTCATTATGATAATGTATTCTCCTGTCCCTCTTCTCCGGAACATGTGCAAAATGATCATCTGAAGAGAAGATAACTTTTTAATTGCATATTCCCCATTGTTAATAACAGTGGCATTTGCTGATGTAGAATTTCTTGTGCCACTGAAACTCTGGCCTCAGTGAAATTATTCCTTATTGATGGGAGTGAGAGAGAGGCAAATCAGGACCAAAGAGGGCAGATAGCTTTGTTTCATGGAGAGACAAATAGAGACTTGTTTGCATAGCGCCATAACGTGCTTTACAGGTATGTGATTTCTATAACATACTAACACAGTGCATGTGAATTGATCCCTGATATGTGCTGTTTCAAATAGCTGTGCACTAGGGAGCACCAGACTTCACTTCATACACATTAACATTAGGGATGTGAATGGGAACCGGGTGATGCTTATTGGTACCCTGGGGAGCAGCCCTCTGCCTGAGGCTGCCTGTGGATGGAGGGCTGTTCCAGCCACGCACGGCTAGCTCCAGGAGCAGGCAACAGCCCCTGCGTGGGTGGCTGGAAGCCCGGTGGGTTGGGGAACTGGAGGGGAGAGATCTTGCTGGTTGGTTAACTGGTTACACATTAGGTCAAACTAACGTTTAACTGATTAACGGGGCGTTTGCATCCCTAATTAGCGTGCTTTAAAAATCACCTCCCCCCACCATAGAGTTCACTACCCTACTGGGCAGACCAGCCCTCAAGCAGCAGAACCTGATTGTCCACCATCTTGCACCTCATGCAGCCCTGTCCTCCCATGTGACGTGGGTATAAAATGTCACTGGACCGGAGGAATAGCATCACCAGCCAGCTTCACGCTAGTGTAAATGGCCCAAGATAGGGGGAGTTGGCTGTGTGGTACTCGGTGACTTGGTGTTAAATGGTTAAGGCCTGAGCTTCAGGCACAAGAACATCTGGCTGATGGAGGCTTGTGTAGCACAGCTGTCAGTAATGTTCCTTTGCACTGATGCAGGACCTGTCATGCTAGTATCTTAAGTCACACAAGGCCTAATAGATAAAGGTTCCTGATATCCACGATTACTGGTGCTGATTGGGGGCAGGGGAGAGGAGGGCAGGGAAATCCACCTGGACTTCAGAGCTCAGCTAGTAGGGCTTTCCCTCCCTTTTAGAGTGGAAAGGGTTGCCTCATGGCAAGGGTGCCGTCCTGAGACTGGAGGTCAATTCTTTGCTTTACCGTCCACAGCCTTCCAAGCCCCCTCGTGTCCCTGTGCCTCCGTTTGCTCCTAACCTAGAGGGATGTGATTAGGATCAATGCCTTACTAGGGGCGTGTCTACACTCTTGAGAAGACAGACGCTCCAGAGGTTGATCTTTCAGAGTTCCATTTAGGGGGTCTAATATGGACCCGTAAATCGAACGCTGAAGTCAGCCCCCACCAACATCTGGTCGTCCTCCTTCAGTGAGGAGTAAGGGAAGCTGATAGGTGCTTATGCTCCCAGCAGCCTCCCGCTGGGTGGACGCCACCACAGCTCAGCTTATGTGTAGATGTAATTATGTGCCTTAAACCGACCTGCTTGGTCTAGTATAGACCAGGCCCCAGAGACTCCAAGGTGCTCAGATATCTGATGCCCATTACCAGACTGAGTACCCGATACAGAGTGATGTCCATTTTGACTAATGGGAATGCTGAGTCAAAAATGAAAAGGCCTATTCGAGGTCCCAGACGTAGCGTCAGCCCCGAGCTTTATTCATCCTCCTGTCTGTGTGTGTGCGCACGGTGCCAAGCATTGTAGTATCTGAGCCTGAGGCTTCTAACTCCCATCTCTGTCCCTCCAATGCTTTTTCCCCAGTACGGCTACCTAAGCCCTAAAGAAAACTCTCACTTACCCTTTCTTTCGCTGGATGGCAGTGCAAGTCACCGACAAGATGAATATGATCACGACAGCACGGCTACGATGGCACTTAAAACAATAGCAGCGAGCCGGATGTTTGGCTGTGGCTGGGCAGTATCAATGAGCATTTTCTCTGTAAACGCTAGCGATCCATTATTTGGCTCTGGAGTGACGCCCAGGAGTTTACACATCAGTGGATAAATGTGAATACTGTCAAAGGGCTCAGCTGAGTAATTCTGTTTGAAATCTGGGCCAAAGGCTCTGAATATTGTCTTCATGTCCATATCCTCATTATCAAACCCATGGTCTCCTTTGTTAATGTACAGTATTATCCTCTGAAAGAAAACAACAATCAATTAATCTTAGCTTCAGCTAGTCCCTTGCATCTCCAAGCCTTGCGTCAGTCCTAGCTTTCCATACAGCAGTCACTTAGTCCTACCTGAAGATGCGTCTGCGTCTGGGATGAAATACAGCTGCTGGGTAACAACACACAACAATGTGAACAAATTTAAGAGGTAGTGAAAGAAGAATGAGGCTAATGGCATATTAGGGTGCATTAGGAGGAGCATTGTCAGCAGATCTAGAGAAGTGATTATTCCCCTTTATTCGGCTCTGGTGAGGCCACATCTGGGGCTCGTCTACACTGGCCCCTTTTCCGAAAGGGGCATGCTAATTTCACAGGTCGTAATAGGGAAATCCGCGGGGGATTTAAATATCCCCCGCGGCATTTAAATAAAAATGTCCGCCGCTTTTTTCCGGCTTTTAGAAAAGCCGGAAAAGAGCGTCTACACTGGCCCCGATCCTCCGGAAAAAGCGCCCTTTTCCGGAGGATCTTATTCCTACTTCAAAGTAGGAATAAGATCCTTCGGAAAAGGACGCTTTTTCTGGAGGATCGGGGCCTGTGTAGACGCTCTTTTTCGGCTTTTCTAAAAGCCGGAAAAAAGCGGCGGACATTTTTATTTAAATGCCGCGGGGGATATTTAAATCCCCCGCGGATTTCCCTATTACGACCTGTGAAATTAGCATGCCCCTTTCGGAAAAGGGGCCAGTGTAGACGCATTGGAGAGGGTCCAGCGGAGGGCAACCAAAATGATTAGGGGGCTGGAGCACATGACCTATTAGGAGAGGCTCAGGAGTTTGGGTTTGTTTAGTCTGCAGAAGAGAAGAGTGAGGGGGGATTTGATAGCAGATAACTTTTCCTGAAGGAAAGTTCCAAAGAGGATGGAGAGAGGCTGTTCTCAGTAGTGACGAATGGCAGAACAAGGAGCAATGGTCTCAAGTTACAGTGTGGGAGGTCTAGGTTGGAGATTAGGGAAAAACTATTTCACTAGGAGGGGGGTGAAGCACTGGGATGAGTTACCTACGGAAGTGGTGGAATCTCCATCCCTAGAGGTTTTTAAGTCTTGGCCTGACAAAGCCCTGGCTAGGTTGATTTAGTTCGGATTGGTCCTGCCTTGGGCAGGGGGCTGGACTTGATGTCCTTCTGAGGACTCTTCCAGCTCTATGATTCTATAAAAGAAAATACCCCAGGCAGCTGAAAATAAGGCGACTGAGGGAGGCGGAAGACAATTCCAATAAGAAAAGTGTGAAGAACAGTCCTAGGTTCAAGAACATGCTTTGGAGTTTGCTAATTGATGCACTTGGTAGGTGTAACACCGAGCTGTGACAATTCCAGCTCCTCTCTCTTAGATATTGAATTCCAGGTAGCACCCCCAAAGTAGACCCAGTATTTTTGCTTGGTTAAAATATGCTGCCGAAATGTCAAACTCAGACAATGGTCAGAACACCCGACTCCCCTGTGGGTGGTGAGTAATGCACACCGTATCCTGCCTTGTGCTGGCTACCCAGATCATGTGCGAGTCAGCACTCTCCCTAAGCCTATGAGATTACCTTCCATCTAGCTGCTGGCATGAGTAGAGCTTTGGCATCCCCTCCACCACACACTGGCTTGCATGGCTATGCTGGCACAGTGGGGAAAGTATAGGTAGCAACCTTCTGCAGGAGAAGCATCTGCACAGCTGGAGAGCTGGGAGGCAGATTGTGACCTTGAAAGTCCCAATCTCCTTTCTGAAGTGCTCCTGGAGCAGCACCAAGATGCTTTGCCTCCCGCTGGGGGCTCAAGGGGAAAGCCACAGACAAGCTCCCTGGTGTTACAGTAGGAGGTTGTGATAATGTCATTGCCAAAAGCAACACGGGCTGTAAGCGTCATTCCAGCAAAGCTTTGCACTCTGCTACTGGCTTTCCCCTGATTCCCGAATCCATTTTCCCCACAGAAAGGGGGACTTAGGAAAGTCTTAGGAAGGGAAGGTTTGCATTGGTAAAATACCTGCAGTGATCCATCGCAGAAAATGGGGATTGCTCCAAAAATGTTACAGTGCAATTTACCAGAACTGTCTGATGCAAAGATGTGCAATAGTCTAATCTAAATCTCCCTTCGGATTTAAATTCTAACCAGGAGTGGTCAGCAAGCATTAGGAACTGCCTCACTGGCTGCTGAGCATCCCAGAACATAGCTGTAGGCTCATTAGTTTGGCTCAGATGAAGCTGGTGATACCTCCTGAGGACAAAACTGGAAGGTACAGTGTAGACCAGGGTTTCCCAACCTATGGGTCAGAACCCAAATATGGGTCACCATTACATTTCAAAAGGGTCACCTAGTGTCTCCCCAGGTGGCTCTGCCTCCTAACTCCCCCCATTTTGAATTGCCTTGGGTCACCAAGTCTTCCTGAATTGTCAAAATGGGTTCCCATCTGGAAAAGGTTGGGAACCGCTGGTGTAGACTATATAGAGCATTTGTCTACCACTTTTAGGACAAGCTCCGTAGCTTTTTGTCTCCCCCAAATCTGTCCTGTAACTGTCAGCCCAACAGGGGGAAATACCCATATAAACATGGGCAAATGGATATTTGTTGCATTGCAATATCCATGTGAGGAAAATAATAGTGGTTTTACCCAGGGATTACAGGAATCCCTATTTTGGCAATGAGGCAGAACTGCCACCTTAGTATGATTTTTAGAGTCCTGGAGGGGTTATTCCGTTCTAGCACTCTAAGGATTATTTTTCAATATCCAATGGAAACAAATTACTCACAATTCAGCCTCATTCTATAAATGGGTAAACCGAGGCACAGAGCCATCTCCCAGAGTCTCTCTCTCAGCAAAAGAGAATAGGGATAAAAGAGAATAGTATCCGAGACACCAGACTTCCACTGCCTTTTTTCTCTTCTCGCTGGACAACCCCATCACATCTACTGTATCATTTGTGCTAGGTTTCTAAATCAAAAAAACTCCAACAGAGTAAAAACTGGTGTGTTTTTTTGTCTGGGGTAGTTGAAGTTTAGTTACAGTTTCCTTTCAGTTGCTCATAACTTTCTCAAACACACTTCATGCATGTCCGCCATGGAAAGGAGAACTGGTGCATCCCCGAACACGCCGTCGCTAAAATTCACAGGTCCCCTTTCTCTTGAAAAAAAGCGAATGCTAGGCTGAAGCTTAAGAGGACAAGAGGCAACGCCACAAGAACAGACAAAGTCAGTATGGCTTGGAGAGATAAGTGAACTACAGCAGAAGTTAGAAGGGGGAGGAAAGAGGAATAAATGCCAGAGGGGAAAGTCCATTAAATAAAATGGTTTCACTTAAGGTAGAGAGGCCCAGTGCTGGCTGGCAGATAGGTATCCACTTGCTGCCACTTCCCAAGGAAGCGAGCAAGAGGGTGAGGGAATAAGGAAGCAGGGTTTGAGGCACTCTCCGAAGAGCAACAGGGAACTCTCTGGAGGGACATCCACAAGAGACAGAGATGGTTCTGAGGCAGAGTTCTGTGCTGAATTAACAAAAATGGGCCTGTAGCTTGAACTGAGCAACATCGAAGCCACTGACAACTCTAAAGTGAAACCTTGTGGGGGGGGGAGAGAGAAAAAGTTGCCTGTGAAAGTCTTTTGCTAGCCAGGGGCCCATTCCACAAGCACGTAGGCCCCTTGCTAAACAGACTATGAATAAAATTAACTGTGGTTTAAAATGGCTGAGAGTCCTCTTAAAAATGGTTTCCACAAGAACAATGAAGACTAAGTTTGGAAAGATGGGATGGTTAGTTTATAAAAGGAGCAGGCTAGGGACTATTTGGGACGTCTGAGCATTAAGAAATCAGGTGAGTTCCTACTTAATATCTTCATTAGCACTAGAAAAACAGTATTAATGAAGCTGGGGGAGGCATGGTGGGCAGGAGATAATGCAGAAGGGATGTGAATAGACTAGACATTGGACACAGTAAATAACAATGAGATTCAAGTTAGAAAAATGCAAATAAATACAAACAAACATGCTGCATGAGGAGAACCTGGAAAGCAATAAAGCCCTTGGTATGACAGTGGGCTGTAGGTGAGATGAGTTTGGTGTGTAACATGGCAGTAAAATACAGTGATGGTTGTCACATTTAAGGGTTCCATATGCCATGCTGGGTGGGATGTGTGTGTGTGTGTGTGTGAGTTTCTCTCTGTACAGTTCTTGGGAAAGCCACATCTAAAATACTACTTTTGATTGTGGACCCCCTACAATCAGATGCTGAGAAACTGGAGGGGGTTCAGGGAAGGGCTGTGTGAGCATGGAGCTGGAGGATCACAAAGGAAGGAACACAAGAAGTAAATGTTGTATAGGGTAAGCGACAGGATTGTTGGTGGGGACATGGTTGGCATGCGGAAATACAAAGAGTGAGAACTGGTTTAGGATGTGCAAATAAGGAGAGAGGGTGACCAGAGAATAGAATGTAAAATCAGAACAGTGGTGGGGAGTAAGAGGCACCTATATAAGACAAAGTCCCAAACATTGGGATTCTACCTATAACATCAAAACACCTGGTCACAAGAAGTCAGAAGTAATAGGGTGAAACTGACATTGAACTTCTGACAGTGAAATGTTAGGTTGTAGAATAGGATTCCTAGCAAAGTTGTCCCATCACTTGGACAATTTCAAACCAAGCTGGAATAGAGGACTAGGTCTTTTTATGGTCAACTTCTTAAATTCCATGTTTGGTATAAGGACTAGAACCTCCACTGAGGTCAAGGTAGCTCTTTCAGTTTGCATCACAGAGGCCAGAACTCGGAAAGATCAGCCTCATGGGAATATTCTCCCACTCCACTCAGCCCAGGAGTGAAGGTGTCGGCCTTGGGAAATGGATGAGCTTAGCCAAGCTGTGCATATGTAGCATTT